ATGATGATAACAATATCTATAGAATATAATTTGAAGTGTTTTAAAGAGATTATCTATTTTAAAACTAACAATTAGTTAAAGGGTTATATATCTTTATTATTTATATTTTATAGCTGAAGAAGTTGAGGAATATAGATGTTAACTTACTTTTGAAAGGTCACACAGCTAGTAAGTGATTCCTGTTATTTACTTTCTGTTGAAAACAGAAAATAGTGAAACTGGGTTTCAACACAATTGGTCTGACTGCAGAGCGCTTGCTCTTAAGCACTAGAAAATACTGTAATAACCAAAGAAACGATGATAATTTAAACTAATCCCATTAGGATGGAGACAAACGTACTTGTGTTATTGATCTATTTCCAAGCAGAATTAATAATATTTTTCTTCAAATGCATTGTTGTTGTTGTTGTTGTTAGGTACCATCCAGTTGGTTCCAACTCATAGTGACCCTGTGTACAACAGAACGAAACACTGCCCTGTCCTGCAGCATCCTCTTGATAATTGTTATGCATGAGCCCAAGGTTGCAGCCACTGGGTCAATCCATCTTGTTGAGGGTCTTCCTCTTTTTTGCTGACACTCTACTTTATCGAGCATGATCTCCTTCTCCAGGGACCAATCCTTCCTGATAACATGTACAAAGTACATGAGAGGAAGTCTCACCATTCTGCTCCTAAGGAACATTCTGGCTGTACTTCTTCCAAGACAGATTTGTTTGTTGTCTGCAGTCGATGGTAAACTTAACTTTCTTCACCAAAACCATAATTCAAAGGCATCAATTCTAATGAGTGGAGAAGGGAAAAGATGATTTTCATATGTCTAGATTGTCCAATTAATTGAATGGTAATTATGCTTGTTTAGATAGACAACAGCAAAAATAAATTAAATTTATGACTGGAGTTTGTTGAAGGCAGGGTTAGAAATTAAATTTCAGAAGTATTTAAGTTATGGTATTTTTGTAAAAATGTGATGATAATTGCAAGGGATGTCTCCATATTATTTCTTACATCTGCATATGAATTTGCAATTATCTATTAAAATTCATTAAAATAAATACAATTCCCTGTTTGAACATAGACAATATTTGTATAGTTCAAATCATTCCCATGAAAGTTAAGCACAGTGGCAAATACCAACTCCCCAAATATACAATGCATTGTGATAAAGATCTCAGAGCTCCTTTATTTCCTTAATAGCCTATATGAATATTTAGAAAGCTCTGAGTTCTAGAATCAAACTTTGAGACTATTTATTATTGTTGCTGTCAAGTCAGCTCTGACTTATGGTGACCCCACGTGTAACAGAACATAATGTTGCCCAGTCCTGTAATATCTTCAAGATCGTTGGCATGTTCAAGTCCACTGTTTTAGCCACTGTGTATTTTGAGTGTCTTCTAACCTAGTGGGTTCATCTTCCAGCACTGTATCAAACAATATTGTGTCATGATACACAGGATTTTAATTTTCAGAAGTATAATAACAGGCCTTTCTTCCTAGTCTTGTTTGGAAGCTCTGCTGAAACCTATCCACCATGAGTAATCCTGCTGTTGTTGTTAGGTGCTGTCGAGTCGGTTCCAACTCACAGTGACACTATACACCACAGAATGAAACACTGACCGGTCCTGCGCCATGCTCACAATTGTTGTTATGCTTCAGCCCATTGTTGCAGCCACTGTGTCAATCCATCTCATTCAGGGTCTTCCTCTTTTTCGCTGACCCTCTACTTTACCAAGCATTATGTCCTTCTCCAGGGACTGATCCCTCCTGACAACATGTCCAAAGTATGTAAGATATTGTCTTGCTATCCTTGCTTCTAAGGAGCATTCTGGTTGTACTTCTTCCAAGACGGATTTGTTCGTTCTTTTGGCAATCCATGGTATATTCAATATTCTTCGCCAACACCGCAACTCAAAGGCGTCAATTCTTCTTCGGTCTTCCTTATTCATTGTCCAGCTTTCACATGCATATGATGCAATCGAAAATACTATGGCCTGGGTCAGGCACACCTTAGTCTTCAAAGTGACATCTTTGCTTTTCAACACTTGAAAGAGGTCTTTTGCAGCAGATTTGCCCAATGCAATGTGTCTTTTGATTTCTTGACTTCTGCTTCCATGGGTGTTGATTGTGTATCCAAGTAAAATGAAATCCTTGACAACTTCATTTTTTTCTCCATTTATCATGATGTTGCTTATTGGTCCAGTTGTGAGTATTTTTGTTTTCTTTATGTTAACGTGTAATCCATACTGGAGGCTGTGGTCTTTGATCTTCATCAGTAAGTGCTTCAAGTCCTCTTTACTTTCAGCAAGCAAAGTTGTGTCATCTGCATAACACAGGTTGTTAATGAGTCTTCCTCCAATCCTGATGTCCCATTTTTCTTCATATTGTCCAGCTTTTTGGTTTATTTGCTCAGCATACAGATTGAATAGGTATGGTGAAAGGATACAACCCTGACTCACACCATTTCTGACTTTAAATCAGGCAGTATCCCCTTGTTCTGTGTGAACAACTGCCTCTTGATCTATGTACAGGTTCCTTATGAGCACAATTAAGTGTTCTGGAATTCTCATTCTCTGCAATGTTATCCATAATTTGTTATGATCCACACAGTTGAATGCCTTTGCATAGTTAATAAAACACAAGTAAACATCTTTCTGGTATTCTCTGCTTTCAGCCGGGATCCATCTGACATCAGCAATGATATCCCTTTTTCCAGGTCCTCTTCTGAATCTGGCCTGAATTTCTCACAGTTCCCTGTCAACATACTACTGCAGCCACTTTTGAATGATCTTCAGCAAAATTTTACTTGCATGTGATATTAATGATATTGTTCAATAATTTCCGCATTTGGTTGGATCACCTTTCTTTGGAATACGCCTAAATAAGGATCTCCTCCAGTCAGTTGGCCAGATAGCTGTCTTCCAAATTTCTTGGCATAGACGAGTGAGCACTTCCAGTGCTGCATCCGTTTGTTGAAACATCTCAATTGATATTCCATCAATTCCTGGAGCCTTGTTTTTCGTCAATGCCTTCAGTGCAGCTTGGAATTCTTCCTTCAGTACCATTGGTTCCTGATCATATGCTACCTCTTGAAATGGTTGAATGTCGATCAATTCTTTTTGATGTAAAGACTCTGTGTATTCCTTCCATCTTCTTTTGATGCTTCCTGTGTCATTTAACATTTTCCCCACAGAATCCTTCACTATTGCAGCTTGAGGCTTGAATTTTTTTTTCAGTTCTTTCAGCTTGAGAAATGTCGAGCATGTTCTTCCCTTTTGGTTTTCTATTTCCAGCTCTTTGCACATGTCATTATAATACTTTACTTTGTCTTCTCGAGCCTCCCTTTGAAATCTTCTGTTCAGTTCTTTTACTTCATCATTTCTTCCTTTTGCTTTAGCTATTAGATGTTCAAGAGCAAGTTTCAGAGTCTCTTCTAACATCCATTTTTGTCTTTTCTTTTTCTCCTATCTTTTTAATGATCTTTTGCTTTCTTCATGCATGATATCCTTGATGTCTTTCCACAACTCGTCTGATCTTCAGTCATTGGTGTTCAGCACATCAAATCTATTCTTGATATGGTCTCTAAATTCAGTGTGGGATATACTCAATGTCGCATTTTGGCTCTTGTGGACTTATTCTAATTTTCTTCAGTTTCAACTTGAAGTTGCATAGCAGCAATTGATGGTCTGTTCTGCAGTCGACCCCTGGCCTTGTTCTGACTGACGATATTGAGCTTTTCCATCTTCTCTTTCCACAGATGTAGTCGATTTTATTCCTGTGTATTCCATCTGGCCAGGTCCCTGTGTATAGTTGTCATTTATGTCAGTGAAATAAGGTATTTGCAGTTAAGAAGTCATTGGTCTTGCAAAAATCTATTATGCAATCTCCATTATCATTTCTATCACCAAGGCCATATTTTCCAACTATCAGTCCTTCTTCTTTGTTTCCAGTTTCATATTCCAATCACCAGTGATTATCAATGCCTCTTGATTGCACGTGTGATTAATTTCAGACTGCAGAAGCTGGTAAAAATCTTCAATTTCTTCATCTTTGGCCTTAGTGGTTGGTGGATAAATTTGAATAATAGTCATATTAACCAGTCTTCCTTGTAGGCATATGGATATTACCCTATCACTAACAACGTTGTACTTCAAGATAGATCTTGAAATGTTCTTTTTGATGATGAACACAATGCCATTCCTCTTCAAGTTGTCATTTCTGGCATAGGAGACCATACAATTGTCCGATTCAAAATGACCAACACCAGTCCATTTCAGCTCACTAATGCCTAGGATATTGATGTTTATGCATGCCATTTCATTTTTGATGATTTCCAATTTTCTTAGATTCATAATTCATACATTCCATGTTCCAATTATTAATGGATGTCTACAGCTGTTTCTTCTCATTTTGAGTCGTGATAGTATTTGAAATATTGGTGGCACAGCTTCCACTATCATAGCAATACACAAGTCATTACAGTAAAACAAAAGGACAAATGGGTGGTGGTATTTTGTAATGACCAAATAATTAAAAAGGACCAATTTTAATTATTTAAAAATGATTTTTAATATTTTCACATAATTTTTTATGAATCTATGCATTTACTGAAAATTTATTACATATCTTATATGTTAATCTCTGTGTATTGTTATTCAACCAACTGGAAATAATGATTACCTTTATATTTAGGGGAGGGAAGAACACCAAGTTCTTCAAAATTTAAAAGAGATTTTGTTAGTGATGATGATAATGATCAGAGAAGGTAACTAATGAACTGAATGTTCAGGCAAAATATTTGTATAATACCAATAATAAGACTATTTTTATTAAACTAACAGAAAAGAGAAGACTAGCAAAATTGGAAGTACCAGGTAGAGCATTTTAATTCGCTGTATAACTTCCTTTAGGGTCTTATCCTTGAGATATCACTTCTAGCTAGTGCTCTGTACATAATAAATTTAAAGTTGATAGAATTATATACAAAAGAGAATGTATATAATTTTATGATGTTTTTATGTCATCTTTATGTCTCCAGCACTGCAGGATCATATCTGGTGCCATGCAGACTGGGTGAGCACATATTTCTGACAACTGGAACTTACGCATTACCATATAGAATGTTCCTTACCAATGACACTCCACTCCACCCCTCATCTTTCCTACTCCTGGGAATCCCAGGAATGGAAAAGCTCCACATCTGGATCAGCTTTCCCTTTTGTGCAGTGTATATGATTGTGCTTTTAGGGAACTTCACCATTCTGTTTGTGATCCAGGCTGAGACCAGCCTCCACCAGCCCATGTTCTACTTTCTGGCCATGTTGGCCACCATTGACTGGGGCCTCTCCACAGCTACCATTCCTAAGATGCATGGTATCTTCTGGTTCAGACTTAGAGAGATCATCTTTATGCTTGCCTCACTCAGATGTTTTTCATTCACAACTTCACACTTATGGAATCAGCAGTCCTTTTGGCAATGGCTTATGACCGCTATGTGGCCATCTACAACCCACTCCGATATAGCATCATTCTCACTAACAAGGTGGTTTCTGTGATTGATCTTGGCATATTAGTGAGGTCATTTACTTTTGTGTTTCCATTTATATTTCTTATTATCCGATTGTCCTTCTGTGGTAATCATGTCATCCCCCACACCTGTTGTGAACACATGGGTCTTGCTCCCCTGGCTTGTGCCAGTATCAATATGAATATTATCTATGGCTTGGGTGCTATTTCTATCCTGGTGTTTGACATCACAGCCATTGCTATTTCTTATGTCCAGATACTCTGTGCTGTTTTCCATCTTTCTTCTTGTGAAGCCTGGCTCAAGTCCCTTAGCACACGTGGTTCACATGTTTGTGTAATTCTTGCCTTCTATACACCAGCTCTCTTTTCCTTTATGACACATCGCTTTGGCCAGAATGTCCCCCACGATATCCACATACTTCTGGCCAATCTCTATGTCATAGTGCCACCGATGCCCAACCCTGTTATCTACGGAGTCAGAACTAAGCAGATCTATGACCGTGTGAAGAAAATATTAATGCAGGAAAAAAAAGAAAGCAAGAGGAGTAGCATGTAATATAAATGAGATTCAATATGCAATTTTATGAAACTTTAGGCAGAGAAATGCTTTGTTACAGAAATACATTCAACGTGTATTTGTAATTGCTCCCTTCTGTAAGAGTTTCCATCTGTATTTCCAACCACTTTTCTTATAACGTTTGCTTGGTTCTCTTTCCCCATTGTCTGTTCCCTAATGATTTCATTTTACCATTTTATTCATTTCAACGATTTTTTGATGTTTTGATATTATCAAATTTTGAATGTACACATGGTTGCTAGATTAACTGGTGTTTCATGGAGTTTTTTTCCTTCTCCCAATATAATGAAGATCATTTTCTAAGGGTCTTTTTTTTAGAACTGCAGTATGTTAGGAATACAATGACTATGTTGCTTTCCTGATTTTGTTGAAATTACAGAGTTTAAGATAAAGTTGGTCAGCAATCTCAACTTATAAACATTCATATTTTTCTTTTAGCCCTTTTATATAACTATAATTTGTCTCCCCTTACAAGCAGCATTGAATTTTTAAGTAAAGCAATCTGACAGTTTTAATCTTTTAAATAGGCTACTTTTTAAAATAGAGTGCTCATGCACATTTAAGATAATTACTCTTGTTTTTCTATCTAATGTATTATCTTATATTTACTTATATTTACAGTCTGTTACACCCACCTGACCTGTGAACCATTGTCACAACAATGATTATCCACTTCTGGATTATTTGGTTATTATTACTACCACATACCCCATTTGCTTTGATTTCGTATGTCATTTTATATTTATTTTAGCCATTGTCATAGAGATCCCCACATAACTTGCCAAAATCTAATATAAATTAGTAGAATTACCTCTTTTGGATAATGAAAGGATCTTAGAACAATTTTAGCCCATTTATCTACTTTCTCACATATAATATTATTGGTGCATTTTGATTCTTATAAAGTTTAAACCTTATGCATATTATGGTTATTATTTTATATAGTCAATATTCATTTAAATGCTTGTATATATTTACTACCCTGTTGTTACTCATTCCTCCCTGGATGTCTAAACTATCTGTAGCAATTTTACTCATGCCTGAGAAATAAACTTTGATACTTTCTTTGATACAATTTTGCAGTTAATACATTTTGTCAATTTTTGTTTGCCTAAAAATTTCATCTTTATTTTAAAGTCATTTTGAAGTTATAGAATTCTAACTTAGCTTTTTGCTTGTTTGTTTGTTCTTTCTTTAAAACCTTTGAAAATATTTTTTTGTGCTCTGACTTCTACTTTTTGGTTGAAATGTCAGCTGTCAATCTGAATGTTGCTGTTTTAAAGGTAATATATCTTTTCCCTTTGTTTGCATTTATAATTTCCTCTTCGGTGTGGATTTATTTGTATTTTTCTTTTCCAACTTTTTCTTGCTTATTGAACATTTTACTTAATGTCTTTTGAAAGTTTTACAAAATACTTAGCCATTTTTTTCATAAATATTTCACCACTCCCTTCTCTATGTGCTTTCCTATTTGACTTACAATTTCACGTATAGATTTTCACTCCCCTCCATTACTCTATCAACAGTTTAAAATTTCCACCCTTTTGTATCTATCTGATATTCTAGATATATGTTTTATAACTCATATTCTATTATCCTAATTCTCTCTTAATTTGTGCCTAATATGTGGTTCAACCAATCTGTTCTTATTTTGAGATATTTTCTTAGATGCTTAATTTTTTTCCAGTGTCTAAATCTCTGCCAATAATTTTAATAGTTTATCTTATGTCCTTTAAAAATCTATTTTCTCTGTTATGTGTATGTCCTGCGGCTATAAATCTGTTGTCTGTGTTTTCTCTTTTTGATATTATTATTATTTTATTTTGTGTCATTGTGTAACTGGACATTTTTAGATTATTCTAGATATGGTATATTAAAAATATAGACATTATTTGAGACTTAGAGGAATGTTATATTCCTTCAGAACACATTTCAATCTTGCTTTCTTGTAGAAGACTAGAGGACTTGGGATTCCTGAATCACTTCAATCCCTGCAGGGACTGAACTAGTTTGGCTTCATCCTCACTCCTATGATTTAGCCCTTCAGGGCTCAGTTGCAACACCTAGGTTGTTTCCCAGAGTCACTGTCTTTTGCAGATGTTTATTTCCAATTTTAATCATCCTTGTCCAGTAAGCCTGTACAAATTTCTACTCAGCCTTTCATCCTCTCAACTTGTTCTTTTGTAATTGATCATTTCCAGTAGAGAGAACGGTCTCCTATTCACTAGACTTAACTCTCAGTGTGTTACTGTTCTCTTATAACTTGACTCTGTAATTATTTAATGCTTTTATTCCTGTTTGCCTTCCGATGTTTTTAGCTTGGCTTTCTAGTTTTCCTTGGTGTAAAAACTTATCCTACTTCTCTAATTTATCATCAAGTATCTTCCTCTATCAAATCGGCATCACAACTATCTATATTTACTAGTCTTATAACTTACGAAGTGTTTCTGAATATGAAACATAATGGGTTACTCTCACACCGTGATTTTCCCCTTCTGTATTGCTCAATAGTATGTTTTTGTTATTAGTTGCCTTTGAGTTGGCTCTGACTCATGGTAACCTTATGTACAACAGAACAAAATGTTGCCTGGTCCTGTATCATCTTCACAATCATTGGTACTTTTGGGTCCATTGTTTTAGCCACTGTGTATTTTGAGCGCCTTCCAACCTAGAGGGCTCATCTTCCAGCACTATATTGGATCATCTCCTGCTGTGATCCATAGGGTTTTCGTTGACTATTTTCTAAAGTAGATCACCTAGGCTTTCTTTCCTAACCTGTCTTAGTCTGGCAGCTCTGCTGAAACCTGTCCATCATGGGTGACCCTGCTGGTACTTAAAATACCAGTGGTATAGCTTCCAGCGTAATAACTAGAGGCAAGCCACCACAGTACAACAAAATGGCAAACGGGTGGTGGTCTGGTAGTATAATGATCAGAATAATAGAAACAGCATAATCAATTATTTTGATTTCTTGTCTCCTACAGCACTGAAATATTCTTTTTTTTTTTTTACTTTAGAATTGAAACTTTACTTGCAGATAATTTAGATACACTAGAGAGTGTGAGGTACATCAGAAATTACATCAAAGTATCTTTGAACTGGCTTATTTAAAAATCTGAATATCTAGAGGAAACCAGCAGTAGTGTCTCTAGATAATTATGCAGAAATACATTTCTTTGAGTTTTTACAAACCTTCATTTTCATCAGTAAGATCCATAACAAATAATGAAAAGAAGGCTTTTCTTGAAAGGTAAGTACAGAAATTGAAGAAGTAATCTAAGATTCCATGGACAGATATTTGTTGAGTACTTACAATAATCCTAGAACTATGTACCATAGAAAGCACAAGAAGTGAAAATGTCATGGCTGTATTAGTTTTCTATTGCTGAATAATAACAAATTACCACAACCTCAGAGTTTGAAAAAAAAACACCCATTATTAGCCCACAGTTATATAGGTAAGAAGTCCAGAACTTCTGGGCTCTCTGCTTAGGGTCTCCCATGGCCAAAATCAAGGTTTCAACCGGCCTGGGCTCTTATCTGGAGACTTGGAGAAGAATCTGCTCATTTAGGTTCTTGGAAGATTCTAGTTCCTTGCAACTGTGTGACTGAGGCAGGACTGAAATATTCTTAAAATTATATGTGAAGATAGGCATAATTGTTAAAATGAATACAGAGAGATGAGTTAGTCTGTGAAGAACTTGAAGTGAAGAAAGAATGTATTCAAGATACATTTTGAATTAGATCTGGAAGGCTGACTATGGCTGAGAAGATTTTAAAATTAGAGTTTATATAAGTCAAATAAGAACCATAACTTAAAAGGGTACAAAGACATGTAAAAGTCATTAACTGAAGGGTGAAAACCTTAAAGAGCATATTGTTTCTCTACCATATTTTGACAGAAGTGAACTGAGTAATAGATTGGATTTGTAATTTTCCTCAACCATGCAGTAAATTATTTTTTTTTTAGTGTGAGAGATTGTGGTGTTGGTGATGTTGTTGTTGCTTTTGGTTTTTATTTTATAAAAGCATAAAAAATAAAGATTAATATCATTGAGTCTGAAATCGGAAATTTTAGACATTCATTTATCTTTTTAGCTTTACCCAATGAGGTCTGTAAAACACTTAAATATTTAAAAATATATATATATATACAAATACGTACTGCATTACACTGACAGGTACAAGACAATCCTTAACTCTACATCAGTATATATACGTATATCTTCCTCTCATAACTTTATTTAAGCCATCACTAGTGAGAGCAGAGCAATGAGAAAATGGCGTTTTATGGAGATGTTACAGAACATTAACTGGGAGGGGTGGGGGGGAAATACTAAATAGGCAATAGATAAGTGGTATCTTGGGTGAAGGGTGAGACAGAACACAATACTGGGGAAACCAGCACAACTTGTACAAGGAAAGCTCATGGAAGCTCCGTAGACACATCCAAACTCCCTGAGGGACTGAATTGCTGGGCGGAGGGCTCTGGGGACCATGGTCTCAGGGAACATCTAGCTCAATTGGCATGACACAGCTTATAAAGACAATGTTCTACATTCTACCTTGGTGAGTAGTGTCTGAGGTCTTAAAAGTCTGTGATCGGCCATCTAAGATACTCCACTGGTCTCATCCCTTCGGGAGCAAGGGAGAATGAAGAGAACAAGATACAAGGAAAAGATTAGTCCGAAGGACTAATTGGCCACAGCTACCAAGGCCTCCACCAGACTGAGTCCAGTACAGCTAGATGGTGCCCGGCTACCACCACTGAATGCTCTGACCAGGATCACAACAGAGGGTTCTGGACAGAGCTGTAGAAGGGTGTACAGCATAATTCTAACTCACACACAAAAAAAAGACCAGATTTACTGGCCTAAAGGAGACTGGAGAAACCCTGAGAGTATGGTCCCCAGACACTCTTTTAGCTCAGGGTGAAGTCACCTCCGAGCTACACTGTTCAGCCTGGGAGTGGACAGCCC